TCCTACTATTCTGGCTTCTTGCCTCCCTCTTAGGACTCTTGTGGCCCATTTGAGTAAGCCTGGATGATCTTCCCATCTCAAGATTCTTAACTTCCTCACAATCTGCAAAGTCCCTTTTGCCATATAAGGTAGCACTTGCAAGTTCTGAGAATTAAGATGTGGATATATTTGTGTGTGCTAAGTCACTTCAGCCATGTCTGACTCTTTGCAACCCTATGGACTGTAGCCTGCCAGGCTTCTCTGTCCATGAGATTCTCCAGGCAAGAATACTGGGGTGGGTTGCCATGCCCTCCTCCAGGGGATCTTCCTGACCCAGGGATTGGCAGGCAGGTTCTTTACCACTAGTGGCACCTTGGGGACCCATTATTTGGTCTATTACAGCCACTCTCTGTACTGCCACCCTTACAAATGATGATGGGTGAATTAATGATGGAACAAGTGGTACGGGACTGTGTGCCCCGAGTTTGAGTGCTTCCCAAGGCAGACAAGGACTTGGGTGCAGGTGGTTTACTTGGAAGCACTCCCAGGAAACTCCAGCAGGGCAATGAGGCAGGATTAAAAAGCTGATAGGGGTATAGAGATGAGCTGGTCATCCCTGTGGGCAACTGGGCCCCTATCCTGTTAGGGACCCTCTTTGGAACTGTTTTGAACATATCTCAGAATCATCCCACTCAGGACATCTATATTAATGTCCTAGGGCTTGGGTGACAAAGTACCACAAACTGGGTAGTTTACAACAGAAATTGATGGCCTCACAGTCCTGGGGGCTTCCCAGGTGGCACTAGGGTTAAAGAGCCTGCCTGCCAATGCAGTAGACATAAGAGACGCAGGTTCGATCCCTGGGTCAGGAAGATTCCCTGGAGAGGAAATGGCAACCCACTCCAGTATTCTTGCCTGGAGAATCCCATGGACAGAGGAGCCTGGTGGGCTACAGTCCATGGGGTCACACAGTCAAATATGATAGAAGTGACTTAATGCACACGTACATTTCTGCAGGGTGCAAGTCTGAAAGCAAGGTGTCAGTGGGATCTCTTCCTTCTGGAGGCCTTGGAAAATCCATCCCAGGCCTCTCCTTCAAGTTTCTGGGGACTGTTGACACTTCTTGGTTTTCCTTGGCTTGTGGACACATCACTATAATCTCTGCCTCCGTCTTCATGTCACCTTCCCCTCTGTGTGTCTTCTCCCTGTCACTTTTCTAAGGGCACTTACCTTTGGATTTAGGATCCACTTGGATAATCCAGGATAATCTCATCTCAGGATCATTAACTTGATTATGTCTACGAGACTCTTTTCCCAAAGGAAGTCACATTTACAGGCTCCCGGTGGGCCTATTTTTGGGGGGCCACCCTACAGCCCACTACAGCTGTGAAGCTGCAGTATTTATCCACAGACTGTCCCTCCACACTGGCTGGGGTTGCCTACGGTGGTGTGAAACCCTGACACTGAGCCTTGTCCTCTACCAAGCAAGCTCCCATGACTCCACAGAAAGTCCGAGGCAGGGAGGCAGAGAAGGAGGGGTAGGTAGTTGAGGTGGGAAGCAGTCAGCAGGTTCAGGCACTGCCCACCACGGTGGCGGGTGCGCCCAAAGGTGGCCCAGGGGACACGGCAGGACCATCCTACAGGGATGCATAGCATCTGCCTCGGAGAAACGGATGACAGACAGCCTTCCTGCACTGCTCTTGGTATTCCCCCTGCTCCCTCCCTCACCCAACTCCTTAGGAGTCTTGGCCTTGTTCAGCCTCTGGAATAGATGAATCAGCAGGAAAAACTCTTGTCTGCCCGAAAGCCAGAGAAAGATCGAGGCTCAGGGTGTTGTCCCTCCCACACAGGCAGGCCCGGGAGTTTGGCTTCGCAGCAGCCCAGCCGATGACGGATGAGGCCGTACATCTTCCTAAGCAGGCCAAGCGGAAAGAGGGGCGGGGTGGGGGTGGGGGCGGGGGGAGAAGTAATTAGTTTGATGAATCTTCTTTTTAAGTCGTTCCCTACATGGAGCTCTCACGGCGTTATAGGCTCAGTGATGCATTCCCTAAGTTTTATGAATCCTTAAACATGGGCCATTTTTCAAAAGAGAGAAGTGAAAATAATCATCTGTCGGCACAAGCCTTAGGTGTCCCTGGTCTGGAACAAGGACACCCGATGGGGCCCCCAGGCCATAGAGGGCTTCGGAGAGTCAGGCTGAGGCTCAAGGCTTCTCACTGGTCCCTGGGCTGCCAGAAATGATGTGCGTTCAATATCCAGCTCCGTCCTCAACAAGCCTCTTCTACGCTGCTGCCCTGTGTTCCAATCTGGGGCTGGGGAAATAAGTCTGATCCAGTTACATCCTGCATAAACCCACAGCACAGTGTGGCCTGGGGAAGACTAGGCCAGGAGACCCTCCTCACTAGGCTAAGTGGCGCCCCCTGCCTGTGATGGACAGATTGCAAAATTGGCCCCCAATTCTTCCCTACCCTTCGGTAGTACCCTCCCACACTGACCTTGAACTTGGTATTGACTTGGTTTAGCAAGTCGCAAACAGTATGGTCAGCCAAGGTTTAAAAAAGCACTTGCATGGCCGTGCTCGTCCCACTTGCTGTTCTTGGAATCTTCGGCTACCATGTCATGGAGCCCAAGCCAGTCCTGCAGAGGACCAGAGCCGTGGTCCAGTTAGCCCTTTGCTCCAGCTTACAGCCAAACCCCCCAGAAGCAGAGCTTCCTCACTGACCACAGTCTGTGGGCCAGGAATGGGCCACAGTCAATAAAGCAAACACCATTGGGCAGGTCCCCACTGAGGCAGCGGGGGTACAATCCTATCAGGGACCTCACATCTCAGCTTTTAGTGGTCCCCATGAGGAACCTGGCTTCCCTGGTGGCTCAGTGGTAAGGAATCTGCCTGCCAATGAAGGAGACACAGGTTCCATCCCTGGGTTGGGAAGATCCCCTGGAGAAAGAAATGGCAACCCATTCCAGTATTCTTTTTTTTTTCCCACTCCAGTATTCTTGCCTGAAAAATCCCATGGACAGAGAAGCCTGGTGGACTATAGTCCATGGAGCCACAAAGAGTTGGACACGAGTTAGTAAGTAAACAACAACAACAACAAATGAGGAGTACCCATCTGAGCTTCCAGCGGGGCCACTTGTGGTTTATTATTAGGCTGATTCCAGTGTAGAACAATCTCCAACCTTGATCTTAATGCTCCTCCAGAAAAATGAAGTTCTCTTTCCATTCCCTTTGGGGGCTTTTTGACGATGGGAGTAATGAGCGGAACTGAGAAAGCTTTGATCTTGTTTCTAACTAGAGGTTAGTCCCCAGATTGTAAGCTCATTTTAATGGGTGGAAGGAGGGGGTGGGCAGGGGGGCTTCTCTGGGGGTTGAGTTCAATGCAAACAAATAGAACACACCCCTTTCCCTAGGAGGTAGCTGGTTACTGGGCCACTGCCCAAGCTGGGTGGCTTCACCTCCTGCCAGGCTTATGGACATACCTTCCCCACTGAGGAAGCCCAATCTGGCATGTTCTAGACTCCATCTCTACTTCATCAGACTGAAAAACACAGGGGGCACCCACAGCAGCCATTCAAGGAGACGAAACCAAAAACCATCAGGTCTAGAAAAAATGGCTCCTTTCCTGCTCACTTAAGATGAGACCAGTGTCCATGGTTCTAAAAGCAGTAACTTATTTGCTCCCTCCTGTTCTCTCAATGACCACAATCTCTCTCCCTTTGACCAGCGGTGTCCGCTGACCTGCCATTGGATAAGGTTGGGGGGGGGGGCATTCCAGGCACTGTTTGCCTGTGCTGAAGCCACATCCCCTGTCCGGTACCAAGGATGGGTAGTGACCATGGCCTGGTCTAGTGGGCAGACACGTTGGCCTCTGAGTGTACACTGAGGAAGTGCAGGGCTGACTGTCAAGCACCGGCCTGGAGCCCAGAGCACAGGTCCTCCCAGCAGAGGCCTGGCCCTGAGCCTTGTTCCTACCTTTCCCTCAAATGGGGGCCTGCCACAGCAGCTGGGCCCCCAGGTCATGCTCGAGGGGAGAAGCCCTCACTTTGGACACCTCTGGAGCTGTGAGTCTGTGGGAGATATGGCAGAGGCCAGCACCAGGCCTATTTCCTGACTAGTTCTTGGGGAATGGGAGGGTACAAATTGTGGGTAGGAGGGAGGGTACAGCCTTCGCACCGACGGAGTCCTGTTGAAGAGGCCATGTCCCTAGAGCTGCCCTTTAATACCTTTCCTGCCTGATGAGATCACAGCAAGTAGCAGAAAAAGTACGTGTGGGTGAATGAATGGGTGTGCGTGTGAGTGTGTGCCTTTGTATATATGTGTGAGAACATAAGTGTTTGTGAATGCACATAATTTGTGTGTGCGTGTTGTGTGCACATGCATGTCTGTGTGTGCACATGTCTGTATTTGTGTATGCTTGTGTATGCATGTGTGTGCCCATCTAGGCTGCGACATTTCTGAGACCAAGGCAAAACCAATTTGGGGGTCACAGAACTCTCTAGGCCTAGAAACTAGACGTGAAACCTGGAGTTCTTGAGAGTCACTTAGTAATGGTATTTCCCCCTCAAATCACAGGCAGGGGTTGTGGCTCCCTGACAATGACGCTGCCTTTGCCCTTTCCACCCTCATCTTTGCCCTGTCGCTACTGGTCAGGGGTGGCAGAGCCCAAGTGCCAGCATCCCCATTGCCATTAATATCCCGTCTCCACCCCACCCTCCAAGCAGCTAGATGATGTGGCAGTCAAACTGTCATATCCGAGGGTCACCTGTTCCTGCCTGCAGAATGACAAATGAACAGATCATTTACTGACAATTTAGCATGTGCCAGGCTCTGTGACTCTTGGCCTGTGGCCACATGCCCTCCCCATGTTCCCTTGTGGCCCCTTCCAAATACACTCTGTGCACTCATATCCTCATCCCAGGGGCTACCTTCGGGGGACCCTAACAGAGCAATGAGTTGGAGCAAAGAATCCAGGCCCCGAGGTGGCGGGGGGCAGTCTCAGCACCTTCTGGGTTCCCTTTAGAAGGCAGCTCTCCCCTCCCACCCTACCAAAGAGCACATCATCTCTGCTCCCTGCGGACCTCAGCTCTGCCTGGGGCTGAGCAGGTCAGATCAATGCTGGGGAAAGTGTCAGCAAGACAATTGTGATAGATCTCAAGCCCCATCTGCCAATATTGCCTTCTCCGTAATAAAGAACATTTTGAACTCCACCTTTTGGACTTCTATGTCTATTTCTCAATTGGCCAGGAGGAGAAGAAAGGAGTATTATTAATTGATCCTCCGGAAACCCCAACATTTATCACTGTATTCCCAGAACCCAAAAGTGCCAGGAACCTAACAGGGGCTCATTAATATTTGTGGATGGAAAAAAAATGACATAGCAAGATTCACACCCAGGTCTTCTGCTTTCCTCCAAGGCCACGCCACTTTTCCATGACCCTATCTGAGAGGGGAAGGCTGGAGAGAGAAAGAGGGGGCTGGGGGAGAGCAGCAGAATGGCCTTGATGCCTGGCTCTCCCAAGACAATGTTCTCTGTGGGCTACAGCCCAGGGATGAGGTTGGCAGATGAGGGGGAGAGCCGGGGCTGGGCTGGAGAGGTGCAAATATCTGCGCGTTATCCTGCCAGCCACGTCTGATCACAACCCTGTGTGTTTTGACCGAGAAGCTCTACCTGCCTCTTGGGATTGATGTGAAGATTAATGCCTGTTTAGCAAATTACAGCTTCCCCAGCACCTCCTGCTCCTGGGAGAGAAGGCGCCTTGGAAACGGAAAATAAAAACAAACCTCAGCGCTCCGTGTCAAGGCTTGGCCACAGCAATGACAGCTGGGCCCAACTCGACAGAGCGTGGAGGCTTAGCAAAGCGAGGTGAAGCCCCGGGGCGCACCAGCAGGAAGGTGGAGGCTGTGCCAGGTCCACCCTCGGGCACTGGGGCGCAGGGTCTGAGGGGGTGCGCGGGATGGGGCAGGGCCTTTCTGGAAAGACAGTCAAGGGCGGCTTGTGGCCAGGGTCTGCGCCCTCTCGGGGCCAGAAGAGAAAGAGGGATGGTGGGGGGAAGGGAGTCCCACCCCCACGCTTGAGGGGTGGCTCTGCCTGCCCTGCCGCTCTCTGAGGCTGTCTCTGTTGTCTCCAAGGCAGGAAGGCTGATCCCTGTCTTCTGAGGAACTCAGAGGGAGAAACGGGATTACCGCAACTTTCGCTTGATTTGAGGTGAGAGATGGATTGTCGAGATTGCAGCAAGTGAACCCTCAGCTGATCATGTGTGACTAAACGGCCCACCGGGAAGGCCAGGGACAGGTCCAAAGGGAAAGAGCCTACAGCAGGCATAGGTGTGGCCCCGGTGGCCCCGCACTCCCAGTGTCTGCCCATCAGCAGGGTCCTCTGTGCACTCCGGTGACCTCCATTGGACAGGAGGGCCTGCTCCTAGCCCCACGCAGGCCAAGCTCTCAGCAGGCGCCCACAGGAGTCAGAAGATAATTAGTCAGCTTTCAGCCCCGAGGTAGGGGACTCGGAGACAGGCGTGTTGGATGCCATGGCCTGTGGCAGTTATTCCCTTGATAACACAACCTTCCCTTTCCCCAGCTGGCCTCCCCTACACCACTGAGTTTTCTCCCCAACAAACCAGTTAAGCTCAAATCTCGCTCTGAGTCTGCTTCTGAGGGAGCCCAAACTAGGTCAGAATGGAAAGAAGGGATTTGAGGAAGCAAGAGTCTGGAAAACACCACAGGGCCATAAACAAATCAAGTGGTTGCCACTTAGGAGAAAAAAGATATTATGTCCATGCCCATCAAAATCTCTTTTTTTTAATTCCATCTTCTCCCCCTTATGAACAATCTCTATTTTTCCAGAACGGCAACAAGGTACTAACAGAACTTGTCCATCTGTGAGTGAAAAGATTTCCTGGTGACAGGAGTCCAGCTGTGACCAGTCCGGAGTGACTCTGGCTGCCACATGCTGCTGACTGCCCTGGGCTGGGCCACACACAAGGTGGGCACCACACAGGGTGGCCACCCAGCAGGCTGGAGACATGGAGCCTTATCTATGGATCAGGCTTCTCCTCGCTCCTTCCACCCTCTTCTAGACTTATGTCAGGTCTCGAACCCGGGTCTTTCTGGCTTCTGAGCCCACACCTATGCTTTTCCTTACCAAACCTCCCACTGCTCCTCTAGGAGTCTGAAGGGCCAGACACCAGGTCCCATCATGGACACCAGGGGAGCAGCAGATTGCCTTGTATCTTGGAAGGTCAATGTCCCTATCTGTAGAGAACTCCCCAAATTCTTCTGCTCCAGGAGATAATGGCCCATTGTGGGCTGGAAGGCCCCAAGTGTGGGCTCGGCATTATCTCCAGGGAATTGGGTAGTTGGTTTCTGAGGGATTCAGGCAAAACCTGTGGGTGAATCCAGCCCCACCCCCACCAGCCCCGAGTCTGTGAGGCAAACTGGCTGTTCTATTAGCTTCTTCTGCAGAAGAAACTACCACAGTCATGAGCGGCTAAAAACAACTGATTCTTTCTATTTTACAATTTCATAGGTCAGGAAGTTGGGAGGGGCTTGATGGCACAACTCTTCTGCTTCTGGAGGCTTTCCTCACCTATCTAGAACCTCAGCAGGGCTGCTTGGCAGGTTGGTCTCAAAGTGAACTTTCCAGCATGAGGTCTCAGAGTAGTCACGCTTCTTACCTGAGGACCCTGGACTCCCAAAGTGAATGTTCCAGAGAATCAGGAGGAAGCTTCATGATCTTGTATGACCGAACGCCTCAGAGGTTACAAAGGGTGCTTCAGCAGTCACAGCCCACCCAGGTTCAAGGGGAGAGGCCATAAACCCCACCTCCCATTGGAAGGAGCGTCAAAGACTTTAAGTGTTATAAGAACCCAGCTGTCCAAGTTTGCCCTCGGCACTCCAAGCCACAGCCCTTCTTCCACACGCCTTCTCCCCTGACCCCAGCCACTCTTCCACCAGCAAGATAGCCAATGTTCACCTTCTCTCTCAGGAAACACTCTTTCATCTTAAGTGTCAGGGTCTTCACGAGTTACTCCCCAGAGGGGCATTTTTACATGAAAATTGTGGCCTCAGAATGGTGTGGTACCCTAAGGAATGCATTGCTAATGGTGGAATTTCAGGCATTTACCACAGGACAGTAGGGGATATATTTTTCAGCCAAGGGACTTTCCTGCTGCAGACAGCTGGCTGCTCAATCTGCCCTCAGCCCATAAACACCAAACTGTGGCCACGGGGGGCCCTCAAAGCAGCCTGGACAACAGCTTTCACACAGCGGTTCCCCAGCCTGAGAATCAATACTCAGCCTGTAGAAGGGGAAGAGGTGAGGTTTCTGGACCACGCTGGTGGCCAGCTCAGAGCTACCCAGGTGCAGTGCTGCACAGTGTAAGGGGCGAGAATGGAGGTGGTGGTGTGCAAAGAATTCAAGTTTGCTGGACAGGTAAAATATTTATGTACCACTAGCTCCCTCAGAGCATCCCACTTCATTTTCCTCATTATTTTGTTTCTCAGTACTAACCTGTACATTAGCAACAAAGACCATGTCAAAAAGAAAAGGAATAATGACCTGATGCCAGGTGGTGCTAGTGGTAAAGAACCTGCCTGCCAATGCAGGAGACAGAAGAGACATGGGTTCGATCTCTGGGTCAGGAAGATCCTCTGGAGGAGGGCATGGCAACCCACTCCAGTATTCTTGCCTGGAGAATCCCGTGGATAGAGAAGCTTGGCGGGCTACAGTCCACGGTGTTGCAAAGAGTTGGACACGACTGAAGCAACTTAGCATACATGCACAATAACGCTAATTTTGGGGGGTGGAGCAGAGAGGACCCCACACTCCATCTCCTGCTTCTGCAGCTGCTTCTCCCTCTCCCTCCCTCCCTCCGTATCTCTCTCTCTCTCTCCACATCACATCAGGACTTATTTATCTTATTAGTTTTCTTGCCTTGGTTTGGCCTGATGTCAGGATGAAGTGGGTATGGCTGGTACATTACCATTTTTTTAGAAAACTCTCACATATTTCCACACAGGTTCCTTTTAACATATCCCATCCCCACCCCTCCTTTCAAAACAAAGCTCGGAGTGCTTAGTTTCATGGGGGAGAGACATCTGGGAGGTTCTGAGAGGAGGCATCAGAGATACGATGAGTCACTTTAAGTGAGCACTTACTACACGCGGACACTGTTCTAAGTATGTAAGTTCTAAATGTTTTCCATGTACTGACTCCACCGAACTGTCACGACAGCCTGGGAGGCAGGTCCCAGAACAATCCCTACTTGATTCTCAGGCCTGGTGAAGTTAAGCAAACAGCCCAGAGACACACAGTGGGGAGATGGCAGAGGGGAGAGTTGAACCCAGGTAGTCTGTGGGTAGTGTCTGGTGACCCACTAGTTCACATACTGATTCTGGTCCTCTGCCTTTGGCCTGTACTCCTGGGATGATTCTAAGCAACTTTAGGTCAAGGCTGATTTCAAATAGATGAGAGGGCCTGGTGCTGAGGTGAGAAGGAAGTAACTCAGAAGGCTGGCCTGAGGGGTACAGGCAAGGGCGACTCTGCTTTGGGAGCATGAGGGGCTCTGGGCTGCTTGGAAAACAAAATCAAATATCCCTGTTACCAAATAGAGGAGAGGTGTTTGTCTGGGTGGTGAAAACAGCGAGCTCTGCTTGACCCTGGAGCCATAAGGCATGCTTCCTGGGCCTCATCTTCTAGACCGAATTCTTCTAGGAACATTCCTCCCAAGCCACACAGAGGCTGCCTGTGTCATTAACCCTAGAAGGGCCAGACCCCTGATACATGTTCTGTGGTTCAGCAAAGGAGACAGCTTCTGCCTGGACTTCATTTTGTGAATGGTGCCAGTGTTTGGTTGAGAGTTATTTTCAGGTCTTGGTGCAAAGGACATTGCTAGGAGCCAGGAAATCCAGGGTCTGGTCCCCTCACCTCTCGCTTAATCTGAGTTTCTGTTTCTTCATCTAGAAACTTGCATTATTTGACTTCCACGTTCCCACCAGCCCTGAAATCTTACGATTCTTACATGAATCACCAAGGTGAGTCACCAAAACCTCTCAAACCCCAGGATCAACTTAAGCTTGAAGAGAGTAAGAGAGCAGAGAGGAAAGATATTGATGGAAGCTAGGCAGTCTGGAAGCAGGACAAGTGGATGAAGTTGTAGGAATCTCAGTCTGAAGGCGCATCAAACCCTGCCCCCTCACCCATGCCTCTCTGTCTTATGAGATTAGGAGTCAAAAATCCCTTTAATGGGGACACATCACCCATTAAGGAATGATTTCCATCCAGAAAGATGTAAATGCAAATCCTCCAGACAGAGAATTACTTCACAGTTAACTTTATACTAAAGTGTAAATGACTGCCACAAAATATATTTTTAAGAGTAGGTCTTGACAGTTTGGAGCCTGGGTCTAAGAGCTTAAAGATAGAGGAGAAAGAGCAACTGAAAGAGTAGAGGCTATAAGAGTCCAGTAGCACGCTTAGTCTACAGCCCAAACCTGCTTTTTACACTCCTATCCCCCATTTCCTCGCTCTGATGCAGGGGCCATGTTGGGGAGATTTCTGGTTTCAAGAACCACAGAGGAGAGTCCAATCAAGCTGAGATATTGGGAGGCACCTGGAGGGGCTGTGTCTGCCAAGCCTGTCTTGTGTCCAGGTAACCAGCCAGAAAGACGACCTTGTTTCCTCAAGGGCTGGGGAGGGAGACACGGTGCCCAGCTGGCTTAGAGCCCAAGGCAGAGGGGCGCGGGGAGGGGAGCCAAGATATGCTGAGCTGGCAGGCTGGGCACTGCCCGTGCACGGCCCTGCATACATTTTGTGCCTTCGATGTCCTCACCTTGTAGGAAAGTAGTAGCTTGTGCTTTAACCAGCTGTCCCTGTGTGTGATGTTTCACTTGATTTACTAAAGGGGAAAAACATTTGTTTCTCAACGCAGACATCCAAGAGAGCCCTGTGTGATGAATGACAGAGGAATCAGCACAGAGGCTGCCGGAGTCCTGGCCCTGTTGGCGACCAGCATGCTCTAAGCCTCAAGAAGGGAGGGAAGCAGGGACCGGAGCCCAGGCACCCCTGACTGCAGACAGAGCCAGGGGAGGAGGAGGTTGGAATCAACTGTGTCTATTCCCAAAGTCCAGACTCATGCAGACTCAGGCAGGGGACATGGGGCAGCATCAGGTCTGAGAAATCCTTAGTGGAACATCAGCCGTGGTGGCCTTAACAGGCAGGAATATAATTTATGCTGTTGTGAGGCTTGGTGTGAAGATACACATCCAGCACTTAGGACACACAGTGAGCACTCAAAAACTGATACTGCTGCCAATAACTATCCTCTCCAGCAGGAGTGAACTTCTGGGGGGAATGAGAGCTGTGGGTGCTCCAATTGTCCCCCTCCCACCTTCCTCAGCCCCCGCCCCACCCCTCAGCTTCAGTTCTTTGCCTCTTGTTCCTCTAAACCCACTTGGAAAGGCTGGCTTTGCTGCATCGCCTGGCTGAGCCCCAGGATCACAGCACTCACCTAGACCTGGGCTCAAGGCAGGAGGGACAGAGCAGGCTTGAGCCACCAGCATCAGGTCAGGAGCTTCCTGAGGACCTGGGCAGGGAGGGTCCTCTCAGTCAAGCCAGGGGCTAGAAGAGCCTCAGGTGCAAAATGCATGCTTAATAACCAGCAATATAGGCACCACAGGGAAAGTATGAAGAAGCACTGCGGTGATGTCCCCTGTACCAGCAGAGAATTCCACGGTTTTTATTTTGATCCCCAACACAAAGGCCACGAGGGGCTGTCGCGCTCTGGCTTAGGAGCTCCACAGACGAAGCAGATCCTGTGAATTCCCATGGAGTGGAATTGCTCCTCCTGGTTTACATGGTTATGCTCACAGAAAGAAAGGATTCTTCCAGAGCAATGTCATTTTAACAGCGCAGTGGTAAGAAGCAGCAAGAGACCAACTCCAGCCTCCCATTTATGAAAACAATAGCTCAAGTTTATGGTATTAACAGTTATCATAGGCACTTCACTTCTCCCAATGCCCCCTCTCCACAAACATAAATATATACATATATATAAACATACACAAATATGCATATATAGTAGACACATATATATACATACACACATAAATACACACACACATCCAAACACCAAGCACAAACACAAACTCACAGAAATGCATACACACACACAGAAGCAGAGATACACCCACATACACACATCTTGCTGAAAGGTAGAGTTCCAGTTTGGAGGAATAAAGCAGACAAATACAAGCTGCTCTTTAGGAAGTGACTGTGGATGGAGCCTCTTAAAGGCACTGGGATATGTGTGTGTGTGTTCAGTCATGTCTGACTCTTTGTGACCCTATGAACTATAGCCCGCCAGGCTCCTCTGTCCATGGGGATCCTCCAGGCAAGAATCCTGGAGGTCAAGTCACGCTTCCTCTGGATGCTCTAGGGAAGGATCCTTTGCCTCTTCCAGCTTCTGGTGGCTGTCCGGATTCTTTGTAGCTGCATCACTCTCATCTCTGCCTGTGTCTTCACGTGGCCTTCTCCTCTCTGTGTTTTCTCCTCCTCTGTCTGTTATAAGGACATCTATCACTGTATTTAGGGCCCACCTCAGTAATCCAGGACGATCTCATCTCATCTCTTTAACTTAATTACTTCTATAAAGACTCTTTTGCCAAACCAGGTCCCACATACAGATTCCAGACATAGCTTTTGGGAAGCCACCATCCAACTCATTACAGAAGGGCTGTTGTGATAACTCTAGGCTGGGTCTCCAGAATTCCAAAAATGACTCCCAGAAGCCTGCAATTGTGACCTGCTGGTGGGGGAGGGCCAACATCTTTGCTGCAGGAGCCCCCAATGGAACAGTTGTCTTTAAAAATCCATTGCTGGAGCTCAGAGCTTGGAATCAAAAAACTGTCTCTGCTGCTACAGCAACGGCCTCAGGACACTAGTATGCTGCTGTGGAAAATTCTGTGTCTTCTTGAGCCCATCAGCAGTGACTCAGTTACCTACACACAGTAGGTGGTTGTGGTGGGCTCCTGTTTGTTGTCCATCTAGTATTTACTCTTTTTAATTTCCAGGAAAACCTTCTGATTTTCACTTGCGGAGCCACTGTGTACCAGCTATCAATGGCTGTGTAACAAAACTCTTCCCAAATTCAAGACTTCAAGCAACAATAAGCATTATTTCCCATAATTCTGTGAGTATGCTCAACTGGGTGATTCTTCTGATCCTTGTGGTGGCTGGAGGCCCAGCTGGTCTTGTTACCGAGTCCAAGCTTGCTCTGCTCAGTGCATAAGAGGCCAGTGAGTCCAAGAGACAAGATGTTGAGGCAAGGAATATGATTTTATTCGGAAAGCCAGCTGACCAAGAAGATAGCAGACTAACATCTCAAAATAACCATCTTGTTGGGGTCTGGATGCCAGGTTCTTTTATGGATTGGAGATGGGGGAGGTGAGGAAACAAAGTAAAAAAGACCATTTAATTCTTGCAAATATCTCCTAGAATGGCAGTTCTCAAGCAGGGGCAAGTATTAGTTTCATCTTTCTTACAGTCATTCGCAGGTGGGCACTTTAGTTTAAGGGTCAGGCAGAGGGGGGCAGGATTCTCTGACACAGGCCATTATGTATGATTATAAAAGTCAAAGAAACAGATCTAGCATGGATGAGTCAAAATTGACTCTTCCCTGTTACAATCTGGAGTGTCTCAGATGGCTCCAACCACACAGCCAGCAGGTTATGCTGGGTGCTGGCAAGGAGTCCAGCCGAGGATACTGGCCAGGGCTCCAAGATTCTCCCTGATGTGGGCCACTCCACATGGCTGCTTGAGCTTCCTTAGAGCATTCTGTGAGGGCACATTCCATGCATGCAAAAGCAGTATCCACAGATTTCTTAAGGGCCAGCCTTGAAATTTACCATATTTTTTGCAGTTAAAACAAGGTTTAAGGCTGGCCCTAGATTCAAGGGGAAGGGAAATGGACTCTACCTCTCAATGGGTGGAGTGGAAAAGAAGTTGTAGGCGGCTTTCATCTGCCACTCACCCCTAACTGCTTCCAAACCATGGGGTTCCAGTGGAGCTGACACCCCTGGCCTGGAGTGGCTCTCAACTCATGCCAAGCTTTTGGAACATCTTTTCCTCAGCAACAGTGACTGGACCAGGAATGGTCATCTGATGCCAATCAGGTCAGAATGGCAATTAGACTCACTCGGGGGACGTTTACTAGAGCTCTCGGGAAAATAGCCTCTTTACTTTCCAGGCCAAACTTGAACCAGAGTAAACATGAGGAGACGTTGCCACCTTCTTACCATCAGTAGGGAGCCTAAGAATGAAGCCAGGGTAACAGAGAGGGAGAAGCTGAGTCTCGATGACACTAATTCCTGAATATAGCAAAGTCTCGCCTGACTTGGACTGCTGGTGGGTATCCCCAGGCTGATCCTGCTACCCTGGAAATGTGTCAGGGAAATCGGTTGAGGCTCTACCTATCCTTCCTCATCACACACTGCCAGGTGGCATGAGAGAATAAAAGCAAACCTCAAATGGAGTTTGACCAGGTGGATGGATGATCATTAGGAAGCAGGTATGAGGACACCTCTGTAACCTGTTCCTGCAGGCTTGGTAATGTCCTACTCGTCCGCAGGTACTCCGATAGGCACCCTGGATGCAGGGTTCCTTCTGACAGTATTACTGTCTTGGCAGGGTCAGCCAAATTTCTGGGGGGCTCAGGCACCACAGTCCTCTGAAGATGGGGAGATGGCAGGGGGCCAAATGGAACTCCGGATTAGAGCATGGCACTGAGGGTGCCAGAACTCCGTAATCTTTTTTTTTAATTGTTGAACTATAGTTGATTCACACATAGTTGATTCAGGTGTCCAGTAACGTGACTCAGTTATACATATACATATATTCATTCTTTTTCAGATTCTTTTCCATTATAGTTTATTACAAGATATTGAATATAGTTTCCCATGTTATAGAGGACCTTGTTCTTAAATCATATATCTTAATATTTCTAAGATACCTCTGCTAATTAAAAGAGCTTCTGATG